AAATGGGTGCCTGTCCTCCTCCTGCTCAAATCCCTGAGGGTTGGTCTTCCCCCTTCATCACCTCCTCCCCCCACCCTGACCCACCAGCCTCACTCCAGCCACAGCAGCCTCCCCAGGGCCTTTGCACTGATTGTTCCCTCAGCCTGGAATGCCTTTCCTCCCCAATTCCCCTGCTTCAGCTGTGGCTCCAACTGCCCTAAGTGAATCTACCTGTGCTGTGCGGGCTCCTGTGGCTGCTCTGGTAAAATTAGTGGCTTAAAACAGCACACATGCATTCGCTTCCACTTGCAGAGGAGAGAAGTCCAATGAGCATCACTGGGCTGGAGTCAGGGTGTCAGTCTGATTCCTGGCTCACTTTAGCCCCTAGGGGTGCCTCTGTGTCCCTGCTCTGGCCCCTTCGCGTCTTCAAAGCCGCTCACCACGTAGCATCTCTGACTTGCTTCCTTCACCAGGTTTCCTACGGATTCTCCTTTCCTGTTTCCTCCTCTGCCTTTCAGGACCCTCGGATGGCATCCTCCCTCCCCCATTAACATGGGATCATTTCCCAGTTTCAAGGCCAGTGGATGAACAAGGTTGGTTGCCCTCCACCTCCTAACAGAACACAGTGGCAGCTTCCGGGGGTCATGGCGTGGCCATCTCTTGGACAACTGATGGAGCAGAATCAAGAATCCAGAAAGAAACTTGCTTTCTCCCCTGCCCTTATCCCACCAAACACCCTGGATCGCACCTATTTGCTCTTGGTCTCTGCCTGCCAATGGCTCATAAGGGCAGGGACTCCTGCTATTTTCTTCTGTGGCCCTGATGAAGAAACTGAGGCCCAGAGAGGTGGGTGACTCACCAGACCTGGTGGAGAGCCAGCACGTGACCTCCCAGGCTCTAGTCAATGCCCGGCTGGCTAGCGGAGGGCCCCCTCCCCACCCCTCTCCAGGATCCCCTGGAGGGAAGGGCCCCCCAGGCAGATGCAGGCCAGGCCGGGAGCAAATAAGCAGATTTATTGAGGCAGCAGTGGCATCAGGGAGCAGGGGGTTTGGAAGGGGGCTGGGGCCTCCACGGGGTCCATGAGGTGCGGGCCTAGCCCTTTCCCAGCACGCAGGGGCCAGATCTGGAGGCGTAGAGACTGCACGACAGGTGGCCCACTTCTTGCCTCTGCTGGGTCAGACCGTCCGCAGCCAGCAGCCCTTCTCTTCCACCTCCTTGGTCACCACCAGCAGCACCTCACACAGGCCCTGGGCCAGGGCAGCTGCCAGGAAGGCCCTGGGCAGAGAGATGAGGAGACTGAGGCCCAGGAGCCTGGGCGATGCCTCCTGGGGAGTGGGGAGCCAGTGCCAAGCCCCAGCCCCAGAGTCACCTTCCCCTCACCTGACACCATCCTCGTCCCCCAGGGCCTCGGGCGCCCGCAGTTTGGAGTCGAGGTTGTAGTAGACGCCATCCACCTGGCGGAGGGCCACCCAGTGCCGCCGGCGCAGTGGCAGGGACAGCAGCCCCAGGGACATGGGTGAGGGCAGGTTCAGGATCAGTCCCAGTACCTGGGACAGGGCCAGGTGGGACAGGGGCCTGTGTGGGTGGAGCGGGGACATGGCCATCAGTGTCCTGTGCTCACCCACTGGCCCAGGGGTACTGAACTCGTGGGAGCCAGGCTGGCATGACAGCAGGAGCCTCCTAGGCCTGCCCAAGGACTCTCTTCGCTCAGCAACACTCTTTATTTCCTTTCACTCACCCATGCACCCAAATCTCCCACCCATCTAGTGACCACCCCCCTCAACTACCCAACTATCGTACACCCAAACATCATTCATCTACTGATGTAACTGATCAGCCAGCCAGCCACCAGCTCAACAACTTACCCACCACCCTCCAACACCTCATCCAGTCTTTAGCCATCCACCTGTCCACCTGTCCATCCATCCCTCCAACTATCCAACCACCTATTAGCTATCCATTGCCTATCAATTATCCATCCTTTATTAACTCATCCACTTCGTCAGTCAACCACCACCTCCTCAACACATCCAATTACCCATTTACCATCCACCTCATTACCAGATTACTGTCTACCTACCCACTATCCATCCATTGGCTCATCCTATTGTCCGTCCCGTCATCCCACTCATCTTTGTACCATCTCCCAACCCCTTGGCTGGCCATCCATCTATCATCCACCCATGCAAACCTTCCACTCATTGTACCCCTCCCTTCTCACCTCCTATCCACCAACCCTCTGCTTTATCTCACACCGATATTGTCACACCACACCCACTGTGCCAGGCTCAGCACACATGACGCAGTGCTTGGGGTCCCACCTCCTTCTGTCCCACCACACGGTGGCCAGGCCCAGCCCCTGCAGGGCTGCCATGATCACGTTGACATCATAGTTGCCGGTGCCGAGGAGGCTGCGATGGGGATTCAGCCGGGAGTCTGGGGCCAACCTAGTCAGGGGATGGTCAGAGCTTGAGCTGGGGGTCCCTGAAAAGGTCTTGCCCTCCCTACAAAGCAGGAGAGTCCCAGGGACCTTGAATCACCCAGCCTTTGGACTCTTCCCTTTGCTCAATCCCATGGCTCATCAGCCCCAAGCCTGATCCCACCGTCCCCAACTCTCTCTGCCCTGTCCTATAGCCACATTTCCCTGCGCAGGCCTTGTCCTCCCTGACCTGAAGCCTCATCTGGTCTCCCCACCTCTCCTCCAGCCATCCCCCAGCTCAGGAGGCCCACCTTGCCACTATTTGTCTCTCTGGGTCCTGCCTTCTCTGAACAGTGGCACCTTTGTTCTTTCTCTAGGCCCTTGGTGGGCAGGGGGAGGGGGAGGGGCAGGGGCTGGAGAGGGAAAGTCTGTGTATTATTTTCCTGCATATCTGTTTGCCCGACCTCCCTCAGGGCAGGGCCTATACTGGACTCATCTCTGGGTCTCCAGCATGGCCTCGGCATCCAAGAGTTGATGGACCCCTGTTGTGAATAGCAGAGGAGATGAATAAATTCTATAACAATTGATCTGAGGGGCTGGGACTCTGCCTGAGGATGCTGGAGGGTCCATGGGAGGGCTGTAAGCAAGAGTGAGGAAGACAGGATCATCTCTGGGTGGAGCCTCATGTGGGTTACTGAAGGAGGAGGGATCCAGGAGATGACAGGCTTGGGGTGCGACCGAGGCTGTGGGGACAGAGAGGAGGAGACAAGGCAGAGCGGGAATAGAGGAGCGATGTTTGAAATGTTGCATGGTGAGGAGGAACATTCCCGGCTGCCAAGAGAAGGAAGCCGTGCCAGAAGGAAAAAAACAGCCTGTGCAAAGGGCCAGAGGCATCATAGCAGGGCTCATCTGGGGACTGGGGAGGACTGTGGTTTGGGGGGTGCAGTGAGCTAAGAAGCTGCAGAGGAAGGTGGGGACCCAGAGCATGCAGGGCCTGGGGTATTAGGGTGCAGGACTTGGGACTTCTCCCAGGGCTGCTGGGGAGCAGTGTGAGGGCTGTGAGCAGAGGATAGCGGGGTTGGCACTGTGTATAGTGTGGACAGGCGGGGAAAATCCAGAAGCTGGGAGGCTGGAGGGGATGTGAGGATGAGGATCCAGATAAGGGAAGGTGAGGTCTGAGCTGGGGCAGTTGCGTGGCCGTGGTGAAGGGCAGGTGTGGGCAGCAACATCTCCATGTCCCAGGCTCAAGGTTCCCCAGGTGGGTGTTGGAAGGCCCGGGCTCTGTCCCTGCCTTGCTGTGAGACCTGGTTGGGTCGCTCTGCTCCCGAACCCTGCTTCTCCAGGGGTTAGGGCGGGTGACGGTCACCTCTTGCAGATCTCATCGGCAGCCTCCTGGCTAAAGAGCTGCTGCTGCAGGACGTTGTTAAGGGCGTGGACGGCACACAGCTCCAGGCGTTGCCGTTCGTGATAAACGGAGGGCCGGCTCGGCTGTGCTCCTGGGGCCTGGGACATGCCGTCCTCGGCTCCTGCTTGGGGGCGAGGGAAGAAGGTACTTGGGGGCCCGGGATCTGGAGGCCCAACCTGCCAGCAGGTCTGGGGGGCACTGCCATTGAAGTGGGGGCTCAGGGCAGCCCAAGGGGACACTGGGCCGCTGACCCTGGCTCCCCAGGCCTTCTGGCAACGGGGTACCTCCCTCCCCTATTGCTAGGAAAAGGGCTCTCCTACTCACCTAGCAACAGAGGGCTACCCCTGCCACATCCCTAAGTGGAAGGGATGGTGGTCACCGAGCAAACCCCCTCCCCTGTCCCTAGGTAACGGGGTCCTTCTCTGGTTCCATAACAACAGACGACCCCCTCCCCAACTAGGTAACAAGCCTCTCCTCTGGTTTCTTAGCAATAGAGAAATCCTCTCCCCTGTTTCTAGGTAACAGGGTCTCCTCCAGTCGCCTAGCAACACAAGACTCCCCTCCCCTATCACAAACAACAGGGTTTTCTGCTCCCGTCTCTCGGCAACAGGACCCCCCTCCCCGGACACCAAGGAACAGAGCCTTTCCCCCCGACCCATACCCCAACCGCGGCGCTCGCCCGTTGCCTGGCAACGCCCCTCACCCCTCCTGCCTCTCTGCTCCCCGAAACCAGGGGTTCCCGCATCCCCCTGGGCGGCGGCTGTGGGTTCCGACCGCGGGGCGGGCAACACCGCGCTGTGACTGGCCAGGCCGGACGCACACAGCTCCCAGCGGCCCCCGCGTGCCGGACTACAGGTTCCGGCGGCCCCCGCGAGGCCCTTCGGCTTGGATCGGAACTTCCGGGGAGCTTGGCTCGGAAGTCCACTGCAGCCGGGAGGACGCAGAACTGCAATTCGGTCGCTGCGGCGAATCCCGGAAATATGCCCTACAGGGTCCCTCCTCTTTGCGTGCAGGGGCCACGCCCCCTGATGCTCAGAGGATTCTGGGAAATGTAGTGTGTAGGCTCTCGCGAGAGCTCCCGGGAGTGTGACTCCGGCAGGTGTTCATCCTCCATGGTGGCACCAAGTCTAGTGTGAAGTCGCCGCGTGACGTCACAGAAGGGAACCAAGGGACCAGAGACAACGGACCATGCAGGGAGAGGAGCCTCCAGTGTTTACTGAGACAGCGGGAAGGCCCGGGATGGGGACGTAAATGAGACGAAGATGTCCACCAGGGAAGGAGGCGGCTTCTCAGCAGAGATGGATCCCCGGCCTGGAGGGGAGCTGGCAGCAGCCTGCGGGGGGGCGGGGGGGAGATACAGGGAATAAAAGGCTGGGACCGCGCGATGAGGAGAGTCAGACACCTGCTGGGAGGGACCGACCCGGGTGGGGGAGGAGACACACAGGGAGAAGGGTGGTGGGATCCCAGCGAGAGGCAGAGAAGGGAGGTTCCTACAGGGATGGGTCTCTCAAGAGTCAAAGCCGGGGAGGAGAAAGTGAAGGAGACACAGACAGAAAGATCAGTCAACTAGAGACCATATCAGACCCGCAGACCCAGACCCAGCCAGGACCTGGGCTCTGCCGGTCGCAGAGCCAGGGCCTGGGGAGAGGGGCCGCAGGGGCCGCACCCAGGAGGCTGCGCCAGAAGGCGGTAACGGTGGCCGAGCCCGTGACGGCGCCTGGCTCAGCGGGATTCTCTCTGTGGGTGTGCACAGCAAAGCTTCGGCCCGAGGGGCCCGGGGGGCCGCGCAGCTCCACGTCCACCACGTGCATGTCTGTGAGGCTGGGACAAGCAGGGTGGTGAGCCTGGCTGGCCTGGCCCCCCGCCTGACCCTCCCACACACCTTAGCTCACCTGAGATCAGCCACAAGCACTCCGACCACGTGGTCAAAACCCAGGCTGGGGGCGGCCAGTGCAGCGGCCGCCATGGTGTTGGAGTTGCGAGGGGCCAAGGGGCAGAGCCCACGGACAGGGCCTTCGTAGAGCACTGTGCGAGGCCCAGTGCTGGGCACTGCAGCCAGCCGTCCCTCGAGCCGGAAGCCATCGGGGTGCGTGGCCATGGTGACACGAAGACTCTGGAAGTGACAGCCAGGGTGACAGGGCCGGGGGTCTCTGGAGGCCCCCTCTGGTTTGCCCGGGATCCCGGCGGGTCCTCACCTGGAGGCCCCCTGCTGCGTCCAGTCTGGTGATGTCCTCAGTGCCCCACAGGGCCCCCCGGGCCACGAACACGGCATGGTGCCAGCGATGCGAGGCCTCTCGCAGCTGCTGCTCTGTGGCCTGGTCAGCCAGGGCTGAGGGGGACCCCACCTGGAGTGGATGGAGGTGGGGGGGTTGCTGAGGTCAGGGGATGGATCCCACTGTAGGGTAGGGTGGGGCCGAGGCAGGCAGGGCAGGGCTCACCAGGAGGTTGGCATAACGCAGGATTTTTGCCCCAGATTCCTGGATTATTTTGGGATGGGCCACTTCCACCACAAGGTCAGGGTGCCTGGGGGAGGGGAGAGATGGGGGAGGGCCTTGGAGAGGCATTGCAGCTCCCCTCCTCAGACTCCCTCAGAGCCTCTGGAGGCCCGTTGCTCTTCACCCTGTTCTGAGGGGAAGCAGGATGGTTTGTCCTGTCTCACGTTTGGCCCAGAGAGGGTAAGGGACGTGCCTGGGATCACAGCACCTGAGGGAGATCAGAACAGGAGCTTCAGGGAGCCCCAGCCTTTCATGGGGAGATCACTGACCTCTCCCCAAGAGCAGCGAGGTTCTGGAGCTGCAGGTCAGGGGGCACGCTTCCTGCCATTCGTCCTGGGTCTCGATTCCAGACAAAAACAAGTTCTAGGCCCAGTTCTGGTCCCTGAGTCAGCAGGTGAGAAACAAGGGACTGTCCTGGGGGGAGGGAGGAAGATTCAGTGAGAGAGGGACAGGGACCCAGAAGGAGGGGGACCCAGAGAGATGGAGGCAGAGACCCAGAGGGAGGGGGACAGGGACCTGGAGGAAAGGGATAGGGACCCGGGGGAGGGGGACAAGGACCTGGGGGAGGGCTAATCAGAAAGATGGGGGCAGAGACCCAGAGGGAGGGGGACAGGGACCCATGGGGAGGAGGACAGGGACTCAGAAATACCGGAGCTGAGGGAGGGTACACTGACCCAGGTGGGGTGGGGCAGGGGGGACACAGAAGCTTAGGTAGAGGGCAGAGAATCAGAAGGGGGGGAGAGGGACCCAGAGAGGGGGATGGGGCCCCGTGGTGGGAAGTGGACGGTGCTCAGGCAGACACAGGGGCAGAGCCAGGGTGCAGATAAAGACCCCTGCCCCCTTTCCCAGAGGAAAGTATGTGTGGTGGGTGAAGAGCTTTGGGGCTTCAGGAAGAGGCCAGGGGAAGAGGCCCCAGAGGTGGGGGACTCACCAAGGCGGCCGTAGCCCACCACCCCTACCCTCCTCAGGACCCCGTCAAGAGCCATGTCCTGGAATCTGGTGGCCTGCGTCAGGCCCCAGCTCTCAGCTGCTCACTGCCCCCCTCCCCTCCAGGCCTGGGCAGTGGCTGATCTTTGGACATTTGACCCTTGATCCTCTCCAGAGCCTCCCTTCCCCACAGTGGCTCAGTGGAGAGGGTGTGGGTCGGCTGGGTGGGGGTGGGGGTGAGGATCCTGGGGCGGTGGGCACTACGCCTTGGGAGTCCAGGGCCCCGCGTGGCCTCCACTGTACTCAGCCCCTTCCTTCCCTGCATTCTACCCTCCTCCCTTCCTGCTGATGTGGAAAATTTCCTCTGCAGTCCCCAGCCCCCCTTTCTGGCCAGCCAGGTTGTCATGGAAACTGCATCCTGCTTGGGGTGGGGGTAGAGAGGGTTGGGAGCCAGGGAGAAGAGCTGCTGATGGGGTCTCAGGGCTCCCAGTCTGTCCCTTGCTCCTGGGTTTCTGGTCCCTGCCCTCAGGCCTGCTACGCAAACCCCAACCCCATGCCTAGGCACCCGTGTTTCTTGTCAACGTTCCTCCTCCATCTTTTCCTCCCTTGGTTCTGTCCCTGACTCTTTTGCTCCCTCCCATTGCTGTCTCTGGGCCTCTCCCTGGACCTCCAGCCCTCCAGCCCCGCCCCGCCTTCTCTGGGCCAGCTGCCATTCTGTCCCCAGCTGGGCCAGGCCCCGCATCTCCTCCCCACCCCACGTTCCCCGGGAGGCCTGGCCTGGTGGCGCCCCACAGGCAGAACAGAGCTGGAGCCCGGCTCATCCCAGCTCTGTTGCTGCAACCCACCCCATCGTCCCCAGTCCTGCTAATCCCAGCTCTGTTGCTGCACGCACCCCCTACCCCCGAGTCTGTCTCCAGTCTGGTTGACCCTCTGTTCACCTGACTTCTCACCTTTCATCTACTCCTCTCGCAACTACAATGCCACCCCCCCAATACTGAGCTCTCACTCCCACAGTCCGCCCCCTCTCCCCACCTCCCACTGACTAAGGAGAAGTCCGTGGGGCCTGCGGAGGCCCTGAGGTCCCCCCAAATAAGGCCCAGCCACTAGCCCCTGCAGGTGCCTGGCATCAGAGATGGTGACGACGGAGGCTGCGGCAGCAGTGCGGCTCCCTGCCCCCAGCCACCACCTGGTACCCGCTGCAGTATTGCCATGGCAACCAGGATCGCAGTGAAAGAGGATGGGAGAGAAAGAGCATGAAAGGGAGCGACAGGGAGCCAGGCTCCAAGAGTCCCAGGTCGACAAGTGGGAGCAGACAGTCGCAGGCAGACAGGGCCAAGTGGGAGCAGACAGTCGCAGGCAGACAGGGCCGGAGACCCCAGACGACCATCGCAGGGGCAGGCAACTGTCGCCGGCGCCTAAGGGAAGAAAGTGCTTTAGTAGGAGTCCCATGTCGTCGAGAGATAAGATGCTGTGGTGTGTACACAGCCAGAGAAGGGGGCACAGAGCACACATGACCCAGGCCTGCCGAGTATGGGGCCCCAGTCCTGTCCGTGGGCCCCGTCTGCCGGGAGCAGCGCCTCATCCCCAGCACACCCTCCACTTCCATCGGGCTGTGCGGGGCTAGACAGCACAAGACTGCGGCCCTGGCACCTCCCACCAGCAGCTGCCCTGCCTGCTGTCCCCTCGACCCCTGGGGTTCCCTCCACCTGCTGGCTCCTGTCCCTCCCAGGGCTCTGTGGGAGCCCCTGCGCCTCTGAGTTACAGCGCCACCCTCTCCCGCTCCCTTCCCTCTGCCTCTGAATCTGACGGAAGTGCAGCCTTCAGCCCAGCTGGCAGGCCCAGCAGCCAGGAGCACCTCACGCCCTTGCCCTTCCCCGTGCAGCCTGACCCCTTCCTCCCGGCAGGGGCTTGTGGGTTTGCAGAGGGGTCTGCAACGCTCCGGTTTGGCTCCATTGTGGATTGACTCGTGTCCCTTAAAAAGATGTGTTGAGGTCCTGACCTCCAGGACCCGTGAATGTGATCTTATTGGGAAACAGGGTCTTTCAGATGAGCAAGTTAGGAGGTCCTGCTGCAGCAGGGTGGGCCCTAATCCCGTATGGCCGATGTCCTTCATTAAAAGGGAATTTGGACAGAGAGATGGAGGGTGCGCCCAAGGAAGACTGGAGTGTATCGGAGCTAGAAGAGGCAGCAAGGATCCTCTCCTACGGGCTCCAGGGGGAGCACGCCCCGCCCACACCTCCTGGACTCCTAACTGGGAGTCACTCAGCCCGTGGAACCGGAGGTGGGGGTGGGGGTGGGGTGGTCATGAGTGGGCGGGAGAGGGTGGGGACAGGGCCAAGGGGCCCAGTACATCCGGGTGCGCTGGGTGCCTGAGTCCGTCTCCGGGGCTTCTGAGGTCAAGGGTGAGGGACCTAAGGGCCCCCAGAGGTGCTGACCCCCCTGACCCTCCGGGTGGGGCCCCTAACACTTGACTTCTCCAACCTCGTTGTGCCCCAGGCCGGTATTCACTCTGTTTTCTCTGTCCTCCATGCTTTCATGACCCAAAAAAATATTTTTTTTTTTTACTTTTTCCGTGTTTTTTTTTTAAAGTAATTACAGAGCAGGTAGTCGTTGACGCAAACCTCCCTTCAGTATCAAAAGAGTCTGTGGGGCAGGTGAGAGCCAGGGGTGGAAGGAGGGGAAGGGCAGGGGGTCTGGAGGCTCTGACCGCGTCTGTCTCTTCAGTTTCGAGGGCGGAGGGGCGGGAGGGGGGACAGGCGTCAAACTGCAAAAAATGAACCGTAAAAGGAGGGTTGTTGGGGATGAGGGGAAAGGACACCCCCAAAAAGCTCCTCTCTCCCCCGGAAGGCGGAGGGCCGGGAAGGGTCGTTTGAGAGCGCGAGAAGGAAAAGCGGAGGGTTTCCAGCCACTTCTCCTGAATCCGGCATCCCCCTCCCTGCGCCTGGGATGGGGGCGGGGGGCGGCCGAACCGCTGAGGCTCGCGTCCCGGAGCCCCGCCCTGTCCTCGCGGGGGTGCGCCGCCCTGGGGTCCATACGCGGGCGGGGCTGCGGCCCCTCCGGCCCCCACCTGCCCCGCGCGGTCCGAGGGCGGGGCCAGGGCTGTGGGGAGGGTCCCAGGGGGGCCCGGGTCCCCGGGGGCGCGCCCCGTGCCCCCCACCCCGCCCAGCGGCTTCAGATCTGCGTCTCTTGCACATTCTCCTTGGAGCCACTCTTGAAGAGCAGAGGTTCGTGGATGGAGTTGAGCCCCGGGGGGCCCTTGCCCCCGCAGCCCCCGCCGCTGGGGTTGCCGCTGTAGTGCGCCTTGAAGGCGGCTGCCACGTAGTGGTGGTGGTTGAGGTGGTCGCGCTCCAGGGCGGGCAGGGCCAGGTGACTGTCCCCGCCCACGCCCCCCCCACCGGCCACTGCAGCAGCGGCGGCCACAGACACAGCCGAGGCGGCAGGCAGCTCGTCCTCCACGTTGATGATCTCCACGGTGCGCGTGGGCCCGTGGTGCTTGTGGAGCTGGTGCTGCTTGCGCAGCTTGTAGAAGGCCACGAGCATCACGGCAGCCATGAACGTGATGGCCACGAAACAGCCGATGATGATCTTGGTGGTCTTCATGACGTCGTCCAGGTCCTTGAGGGCGTTCTCCGTCACGTCCGTGATGGGCACCGTGAACGCCTTCTCCGTGGGCCGCGAGGAGCGTGGGGCGGGCGCCGTGGTGGACGACGAGGCAGGGCCTGCGGCGTCCCCTGGCCGGCCCCCGCCCCAGACGCCGTCCGTGGTGGGCCCGGGTGGCTCCTTCTCCGTCCCCCGCGGCTGCAGGGTCTCCTCTCCGGGCTGCGTCTCCAGGGTCTCCACGGTGACGGTGGTAAAGTAGGTGTAGCCGCCGCCCCCACCGCTTCCCGGGCTGCCCCCGCTGCCCCCAGGGCCACCGCTGCCGCCTCCAGGGCCACCGCCGCCAGCCGCCACGGGGTCCACGGCTGACACGTTGAGCGTGGCCGAGGCGGTGGTGTTGCCCGCGGAGTTCGTCACCATGCACGTGTACTGGCCCGTGTCCTGCACCGTGACATTGGTGAAGTTGAGTGTGCCATCGTGTAGGACTGAGATGCGCACACGGTAGGAGCCGTGGGTCATGAGGGTGCCATTGGGCGTCAGCCAGTTGACGGAGGTCATGGAGGTGCCCGTGCGACACTTGAGCTCCGCGGCCATGCCCTCTGTGACATTCAGGTCCGTGGGCGGCTCCACGATGACTGGCGCATAGCAGGTGAAGTGCGACTGGTCCAGCTCCCCAATGTAGCGGCCCTTGAGGCCGGCTGGCGCGTGGCAGCGGGCGCAGCACGTTGTATTGCTGGGCACTGTCTCCTTGAGCCACCAGCTCAGCCAGAGCACGTCGCAGTTGCAGTGCCAGGGGTTGTGGTTGAGGTGGACGCGCTCCAGGCGGTGCAGGGGGGTGAAGAGGTCGTGGGGCAGCGACATCAGGTTGTTGTGGGACAGGTTGAGCTCCTCCAGCGACTTGAGGTCGTCGAAGGCATTGCGCTCAATGGTGGCCACCTGGGCGTGCATGAGCCACAGCTTGCGCAGGCTGGTGAGGCCCTGGAAGGAGCCTGGGCGGATCAGGTCCAGCCGGTTGCCTGACAGCTCCAGCTCCTCCAGGCGCACCAGGGCTGTCAGGTTAGGGATGTCCTTGAGGTTGCACATGCCCAGGTTGAGGTAGCGCAGGTTGACCAGGCCCTCGAAGGCCGCCTCCGAGATGTACTCCAGCCGTTTGAGCTCGCCCAGGTCGAGGCGCCGCAGCGAGGGCACGCGGTTGAAGGCGTATGAGGGGATGCTCTCGATGGGGTTGTTGCGTAGCCAGAGCTCCCGCAGCTTGGACAGGTACTCAAAGGCCTGCGTGGGCACTGTCGTGAGCCGGTTGTCGAACAGCTCTAGCGTGTTGAGGCTGGGCAGCCCATTGAAGGCGCCCACCTCGATCTTGCGCACCAGGTTCTTGCTCAGCTGCAGGATCTCCAGGTGTCGCAGGTGCTTGAATGTGTCTGTCCGGATCACCTGGGGTGGGGGAGGGGAGACAGGTGAGAGTGAGGACCTGTGGGTAATCATCGGAGAGGGGCGCCACCACCAGGCCAGCCCTCTGTCCCTCGTAGTGGTGGGGCGGGGGAGTGAAAGACCGGAAGATCATGTTGGGTAACAGTTTGATGGTTTCTGACAAGGCTAAACACACCATTTACACGCATCACACACCATTACACACGGCCTGGCCAGCCCACTCCTGACTATTTCCCCGAGGGAAAGGAGAGCAGATGTCCCTCCAAGGTTGCCTGATGGGTGCCCCTGGCAGCCGTGCTCCTAACAGCCTAACTGGAAACAACCCAAATGTCTGTCGTCCGGGGAACAGCCAAACATGATGGCTCCTGAAAAGGAAGCAGCTATCGATACACATGGCGAATCTCATGGGGGGGGTGGGTGGGTATCGTGTTGAATAAGAGAAGCCAGACACAAAGGATGGCCTATGGTAGGGTCCCATTGGTTCCACATTCTGTGTGTCCTAAGCAGTGGTCTCTGAGTGCGTAGGGGGAGGCCAGGCTGGGAAGGGACATGAGAGAACTTTCTGGGGTGATGGAAAGGTTCTCAGCTGGGGTGGTGGCTATATGGATGAATACAACTGTCAAAACTCCCCAAACTGTACCTAAAACAGGGGCATTTTGTTATATGTAAATTAAACTTCAAAATGTAAGTTACGCCTCAGTAAAAAAGATTGAAAATACACCAACAGCTAACATGCACTGAGCCCCTCTTTGGCACCAGACACCATTCTAAATGCTTTATGGGCAACGACCCATTTAATCCGCCAAAACTGTCCTACGAGATAGGTGCTTACTCAATATCTGGGACTATGAAATCCATAAAGCTCTGAAAACCGGAAGATTTTCCCAAACTTTGGCACCAAGTACCATTCGGTGGTAGAGCCTGATCAGAACTCATATGAAGCTCGTTAAAGCTCTTCTTGCTCCCACACGTGCGACTATTCTGACACTTCACTCTAGAAGTAGTCCCACACTTGCTAAGGAGAAGGTCCCAGGGGGCGCTATAAACTATGTGCTGGACATTGGTACCTCACCCTTTAACAGCAGAGGCCAAAACACATCTGCTGTTTTAAAATTATCTCCATCTCAGCAGGAGGCAGAGAGAGGTCCAGTGACTCGCCCAAGGTCAGTCGGGAGGAGGTGACAGACTGGGACTGGCTGGAGGCCGGCTGTCCCTGCTCTTCACCCCTGAACTTGGCTGCACCCCCTCTCCCAGCTGAGGCAGAGGGGCCACAGGAGGGGCAGTGCTGGGCTGGGCACAGAGGCAGAACCTGACCAGATTCCCCTTAGCAGTCGCAGTCACAGTGCTGGCTACACTGAGTCATGGCCTACCCCGAAGCCATCAGATGGCATTTCTGAAGCCTTGTTAATGCCTTGGGGGAATGCCTGCATTATGATATTAGCCGGGAAATAGAGAACTCCAAACACCATACTATGTGGTCACCACTTTTTAAGATTTTACTTTATTTAAAGATTTTATTTTTACATAATCTCTCCACCCAGCATGGGGCTTGAACTCACAACCCTGAGATCAAGGGTAGCATGTTCCACTGACTGAGCAGGCCAGGCACCCTTCTGACTTCGTAGAATTTTAAAAAGAACCTGAAGAATTAGGTGTACTCATATATGCACCAAGACTGTAATACTCTAAGCTCCTGGTAATAAATTCCAGCTGTCGGGGATTAAGGGCAATTTTTATTTACTGATTTCTTTAGTGAACCTAAGTTACTTTTATAATAAGTAGAAAAACACTTTGAAAAGTTTTTTAGGGGCACCTGGGTGGCCCAGTCTGTTAAGTGTCCTACTCCTGATCTCAGCTCAGGTCTTGATCTCAGGGCTGTGAGTTCAAGCCCCACATTGGGCTTCATGCTGGGCATGGAAGCTACTTAAAAATAAATAAAGATTTATCTTTAAAAAGACTGTACCTGAGAGGCACCCAGCTTAAGGGACAATAAAGATTCTCGATACTGTCATAATCACAGAATAACAATAGCCACTACTTAGGTCAGTACTATTTTCAGCAGAAATACAATGTGAACTCCAGATTTACTTCTATATCTCCTAGAAGCCACATTAAAAAAAAAAAAGAAAAAGAAACAGGTGAAATCAATTTTAATACTAGATTTATTTAACCCACTCTATCTAGAATATTATGATTTCAACAGGTAATCAAGATGAGAACTTACGAATGAGATATTTTACCCTCTTTTTGCACCAAGTCTTTGAAACTCCATGTGTGGCTTACAGCCCATGTGCTCAGTGGCCCCGTGTGGCCAGTGACATCACATTAGGCCGGGCAGGTTTACCAGGTGCTTCCTTGACTCCTTGAAGCTTTGTGAACACAACTGTGTTTTATCCTCCAGCAGCTTTATGAGCTAGGACTGGTGGCGCCTGTTGCCGAAAGGTGGGAAAGGAAGCCCACAGAGGTGGCCAGTGGCTGGGACACCATCTGCACAGTGAAGACAGAGCCTGGTTCAGGCTCCTCCTCCTGGCTATGGGGCCTGTTAGTTGGACTCACTGGGCCTCCCATCCAGGGCTGGCCATGAAGGGAGAGTGAAAGCCATGTTGGGGGCCGTGCTGTGATCACTGGAGAGTGCTCAGGGGCTCTTGACCCATTGGTGGTGGTGTTGGCATTCCGCAACCAGCACACGATTGGGGTCAGGGCCTGTGAAGGGTGGCTCTTGGGACGGAGAGCCCCTTACTGCACCATCTAACTGAAAATCAGGGATATGAGCCTAACACTCGCTGGGTGGGACCCGCCAGACCTCCACTGGCCCTCTGTTCTCTGACTCCCCATCCTTTCCCCTCCTCTCCATCCCATGGCCCAGCCTTGCTCATCTTCCTCCTCTCCCACCTGGACACCAGGCCCCAGACTTCTGTTTACGCCCACACCCCGTGTTTCTCCAGGAGCCTCATTTTTCCCAGCACAAGGTTCTTCCACTCCACACTGACAAAGACTAGGAATGATGACGAGACTCCGGCCTCCAGCGGCACTGATGGGCTTGGGCTTGGCACCACCTCCCCTTCCTCTTCCAGTGTCACCCCCTCCTCCTTCTCCTCTCAGCAGGTCCCAGAATGAAGCCTCTGGGACTCTGCACTTGCTGTTCCCTCTGCCAGGAAGACTTCCCTACTTTTTTTCTGGCCTCCTGCCATCTGCCTATCAACACCCAGCTCCTATGCCACCCAGCCCCTGCCCCAGCCAACTACATGCCCTGGTCACCCATCAGAGTCCACACACCCCCAGGGGCCACTGTCTCAGGGGCCCTTCCCAACCAGAACTGAGGGTGGTTCCCTCTGTTCCCTCCGTGGCAATCAGATTCCTGAGGAGAACAGCCTGGGGCACCTGGCCTGAGGAAGGGGTCTTTGTATGCTCAGGGCAAAAGGAACAGATGAGGAGATACAATTGGGCTGTTAAAACTTTGCGATTCTCAGATCATGTGAACAGTTTCCAGGAACAGTGGGATGGAGTTTGGGGGGACAGCTCAGAGTAGGGACCAGGAAGGGACTGTCCCCTGGAACATACATCAGCTAAAATCTCCTACAAGCTTTGGTGGACATTAGATAGAATAACAAAGCAAATTTCCATATGCCTTTCCCCCTGCTGCTGATAAAAGTGATATATACTCATTTCAGGAAAAAGTCTACAAAGAAAAGAAAAATCAGCCACAGGCCCTCTACTTACATTAACAATTTGGCATACATCCTTACAATCTTTTTTCTATGTATATAATGCAAAGATATATCTCTTTTTCACATTTTTTAATATTTTACAACATTTTGGTGACATAATATACTCTCCTTGGCCCTATATTAATAGTATTATACTGGAGGGCTGCCTGGCTGGCTTAGTTGGTAGAGCGTGTAACTCTTGATCTCAGAGTCGTGAGTTTGAGCCCCATGTTGAAGGTAGGGATGACAAATAAAAATAAAACCTAAAAAAATAGTATTACACTGTATTTTCCCATTTTGTAATATATGCTTCAAAAATGATTTCCGTGGCTATCTTGAATTGTTTCCCAGGGTTATACCTCCCGTGGGACCTTGAGATGGACTTGCCGGGATTAATTATTTCTTTTCCTTAATACGCTTCTGCCTTCTCTAATTTCCTGTAGTGAACATGGCTAACATTTATTTATTTTATTTGTTTGTTTATTTATTTATATAGAATACAGTAGACTGTATTCTTTTTTTTTAAGATTTATTTATTTATTTATTCATGAGAGACATAGAGAAAGAGAGAGAGGCAGAGACACAGGCAGAGGGAGAAGCAGGCTCCATGCAGGGAGCCCGATGTGGGACTCGATCCTGGGTCTCCAGGATCATGCCGTGGACTGAAGGCAGCACCAAACCGCTGAGCCACCAGGGCTGCCCTACTTTTATTTATTTTTTATTTTTATTTATTTATTTTTTAATATTTTATTTATTTATTCATGAGAGACACACACAGAGAGAGGCAGAGACACAAGCAGAGGGAGAAGCAGGCTCCATGCAGGGAGCCCGATGTGGGACTCAATCCCAAGACCCCAGGATCACACCCTGGGCCAAAGGCAGATGCTCAACCGCTGAGCCACCTAGGTGTCCCTTATTTAGTTTTTAAATATTATTTACTTATTTGGGGCACCTGGGTGGCTCAGCGGTTGAGCATCTGCCTTCAGCTTAGGGTGTGATCCTGGAGGCCCAGGATTGAGTCCTGGGATTGAGTCCCATGTCGGGCTCCCTGCATGAAGCCTGCTTCTCCCTCTGCCTCTGCCTCTCTCTCAGGAATAAATAAATAAAATCTTTAAAATTTTTTGTTAAAAAATATTATTTATTTGAGAGAGAGAGAGAGAGAGAGAGAGAGAATACAAGTGGAGAGGGGCAGATGGTGAAGCAGACTCCCCGCTGAGCAGGGAGCTGTAGGGCTGGATCCCAGGACTCCAGGATCATGACCTGAGCCGAAGGCAGGCATTTAACTGATTGAGCCAC